ACCATTACACCAAATGGCAGAATCAGCTACAAATCTCTTAAATGAATATAGGCCATTAATTGTTGAAAGAGCATTTTTCAGCTCAAACGTCCATAATATTCCTCGATGCCTATTCCAGAAGTGCATCGAAGTTGCATTGTAGTCCCGGGTCAGTCAGATCAACAGTCTGTTTGTCGATCAGCTGCTGTAGTGGACCCGCATTAAACGAATGTAATCAATTTCTTTAAGTCACCATCGGCAGTGGTATGGCAATCATCATTGGAAGTTACAAGGGTCATGTAAAGTCTACATAGCTAACCTACAATGTACGAGGTTTTCTACATTGATTGCACGCGAAGCCAGAAAACTTAACGGAACAGTAAAGTACGCACTTGTTTCAAGCACCAGACACATTTGTAATAAAACCAAACCCTTGCACGAAGCACGGCCATAGGGGTAAGTTACGCATAGAGACTGACGAAGGACTCCATGTAATAGATATGCTTGTCACCTTGTACAAGTATAATGGGTGAATTTATTCTTCACAGTCTGAGACAGTATTGCGGAGGTCCTTCATTTCGTAACGGCACTGTCCGAACGGCTCGAAAATGCTTGCATAATTAGCGCATTGAGTGATGTCATGTTTACTGAAAATGTACATACAGAAGGGTGAAACATACAGTTCCAGCTATGATAACAACTCCAGCGTAACTTGCCTAAAGGGAATAAGTACCGCTGATTGATGATAAGACCGTGCCTGCTTTTTCGTTCCAAGGGACTGATACTAGTTTCTTCATAGTTAGTTTACTATGGTATGAAAGACACCCTTATCGACGTCAGTGCCATCTCATTTATTTATAAGTGTTTACGTAAATTTTCCCTCCTGAGGAGCTTCCTGAAGCTGCTAATTATCAAGACCTAAGAATGGGACACTTCAATAGATCTACCATATATTTTTGTGTTTATGTCAGCTCTTTAGATTGCCATGAGTTTGTCAATGCAGTGACAAAATAGCGGGATTATCGTATCTTTTCGATATTGATAAATAAGACACCCACGAAGCCGCTGCATATGATGAGTGAATCGGCTGAAAGAATTCCCACACTGCTGGAAGTTTATTTCTCACGATTTGGGGTAAATATCTCACAAGCAACAGGCCAGCCAGGTGACTGTACACTGTTTAAGGAACTTGCAGGACTGAAGTTACATCAGCCCCGCCCCATAGCACGATATATTCAAGGGGAAGGGGGGAAGGGCAACGTCTACTGACTTGACTAAGAAGACTCTGCACAACGTGGAAAGCGAAATAGAAAATGTCGTGTATTTACAATAGGCAGGTCAGATTTTGCGTTTTGACATTTTTTCGTTATGCAAACAGCTTGTGATAATCTGATGAGAGTTTTTGTTCATGAAAAGGCCCAAAGTGAACCAAGTACTTGGATTTACTTAGAAATGACGGCTTACATCATTTACTTGAATTAAAAAGCTTCATTCATTTTTTTTTCATAAACACAAACGGTTCATAAAAATTCCTGATAATTTCACAGTTCATCAGTCTAGCTCAAGCCGCCGATTCAGCATAAGCAATTTATGCTGCAATTACTCTCGTATTTTCTTGTGACAAAACATAATCGTTGTTTCCACGTCTGTCATTACTATCGACGTACAAAGGGGGACTGCTATTGCACACTGAAGTTCTTCACGCCACAAAAAGGTCCTACAGGGGCATTTCTTGTACCTTAATTATGTCGTCCACTCCACTCGACTGAAGTAAATAATGTAGACGTTAATTTCAGGCATTTCTTGCAGATTTACGTTTTTTCGAATTGTCAAGGATCCAACGTTATATATTGACGAGCGGGTTACTTCCGCATACAAATAAAGTCAGCACGGAGTGAAATAGCCATCTTTGCTAGACATCGATAGATTCTAAACACACCTGATATGTGTGACAATTAAATTCGGTCCATAATTTATATCCCATAAATTGTCGTTACACAATGTATTGTATTTCTACTATTAACTTGCGTTATAAGTACTTAATTATTAACTGGCATAAAACTACGTTAAGGAATAGACATAGTAGATTTTAGGGGCAAAACCCCTTCTTCGTAACAGAAAAACAGGAGCAAGCAAAATCAATAATTTTTTTTTGCTAAATTTTAGAGTGTGCAGTTTATCATAGGGTTGCTATATTTGGACCAGGAGGCACATTTCACATAAATCGCTTGTGTACATTAATTACATCGGGCTAGTAGAAAGAAGTTTGGTCACGTGTAGAAAGACGTAGCTGTTTTGGTTCGTCTGGCAGAAATATGGGTACGGCTTAGAGCACGCCGAATGTTGATCTTAAGCGATAGGTGAGCCGACCTTTGCGGCCCGTTTTCGAAAAAATGCTCTGTCGTTCTTGAAGCGTAATAATAAGAATCTATAGGACTTCCCGGAAAAAAACAGAACCGTTCGCAAGCACATTGCCTTATATGAGCAATGCGTCAGCGCGGCGCAAGACCTGAGCGACATGGTGAAATATTTAGACGCAACCTGCCCTCCTGTATAATATTTGCTTCCGCTATACCAAGAAGACTATAGGGTTCGCTCAATCTTTAATCGTGTTTTGTCACTCTCTTCGTAGCTGCGGGCTAAAGCTAGTCTTATATTATAGAGACATTTGTAAACACTATCAATAGAGTTGCTATAAAAAGAAAATGTATTTAATCCAAACGTGACAACTAGGTCTATTGTATATGACTGTATACCATTTAGGTCGTATCCAGGTATCACTATCCAAATCTCCTAGATCAAAGATCGTAATACAGGTAATGGTACAATGAAATCGTGTCCCAGCGTCGTATCTGATTAACACTCGCTATAACTATCAGCACATCCAAGTGTTGCCTTCCCGTTCCCACGTCTATGATGTACATATGTATAGACGCCGAGGTCTATAAATCCGATATGGAATTAGGTTAAAATACGTTACTTGTATTCGTTGCAGCTCAAAATATCCAAAGAAGACAAATTTTCAGTAGGTTACAGTAATAATAATGGCCTTAGATAAGTTCAAACATCATCTCGCTGAACAGAAAATTGCCTCGTTACAAAATGTACTTTTGTCCGCACATCTGCACACATATGACAGCCCCCTTCTATACTAATATAACGCCGTAACTAGTTCACGATGTGCACATTTAGAACAACGAATTATGCTGTTATTACTAATGTCTCCATATCTAATAATCTGCGCAGTACCTCGGGACTAGTCAAGAAACAGATAACGCAAGCGTCCTCTATGACAAAGGTGTTCGCTCTGAAGTTTCTATTCAAAGAAAGGAGATCAGACGACGCTCATCAACAATCGGACTTGTTGGCACTGAAAAGTCTGGTGGCGACCCGGGTCGACAATAGTCTACCATACACAGAGTCAACTTGAGCCGTATATCAACTACGTAGGAAGGAAGAATTAGACCTGATCGTTAACGTAATACAATTCGATGTAAGATAAAACTTAATAGTAAATATTAAATGAAATAAATTTACCAGCAAGCCAACAATCATTTCGCCTTAGTTCTATTATTATAAGCTAAAGTTGTATAGGTTAACCTTCTTTTATTTATATAGCTTATATGTATGTATACAGAACAATGGTTATCTTTTGATAGAATTAGAAATTAGTATTAGAAAATCATAAATATTTAACCTTTCTTTGTTTTTTTTTTGTTTTAGTTTCAGTATTCCGAGCTAACGGAGCTCAGTGTGTCAGCTGTCTGATACGTATGCGCTATCTGTACGTACGTCATACGTCTAAAACGTTTCTATTCTTTGTGTCACGAAGACCCCCTCACGACACGGCTTGCAACTCTGGTGCCTACAGATAGAAAAATTCGTTAACGAGCTGCTTTACTATACTTAGACAGTTCTCACCTATACTTCATCTCTGCCACTGCCAAAAATCTTACGGCTCGAACTCGATCACTTCGATGTGGACGCTGCTTTTTGAACGTCATAATAGCAGTTTAACATAGAAATGTGGCCATCTTTGACGAGGATGACTTAAAGAGTCTTCACAACTTGAAGAGGACTGACTCGTAATATAAATGCAGCGACACTAGCAAATTATCTCATTATATTACTATTCAATTATAAGTTATTTTCTATCTTTTGCCTTCTACCGGCCCTCACTTACCCGAAATCCCTTTGATAATCTCGATTGTTAATTACGTGCTAGAACTCGGATGTCGATGGAGGGTAAATACTGAGCCAACGACTAGCATACATCCAAGACAAAGGTCCCTACAAATGCTAAACAAGCACATAACAAATAGTAGCCTGAACAACAGAATTACTTGTAGCTACTCATGCAAACTTGAACACCGCTGCCTTATGTTGCATGAGAATATCCTGATTCCCTGAAATGTCCCAAGCATATTGGATGCATGCATGCAACGTACCAGGATACTGTGCCTGAAAATTTCGTCTAAGCTGTTGTATGATTGCAAGATATTTTAAAGAAAAAGACATTGCTGCGGCTCTTAAGAGGGAAGTTCGTGTCCTCTAATCAGTCCTGCTAGACAATGTGGGCCTATGACTGTGCGAGCTGTTCAGTTGCCCATGCTAAACACTAGATAACGTTCAAAATATAGGACGAATAGGTGAGGAAAGTTTTCTGCTGAAAGGTATCGTCGACAGACAACTTTAGCTGGAAGAAGATCGACACGCGTTAACTTGGGCCCAAGCAAAAACAGAAACAATTACCCTAAGTGCTCTCGATTGTGACACATGTGACCGAAAAATTTGAAAGACGCCTGTTTGAAATATATCGCTAGAAATGACTGCCTCTTCCCTAATCCTATGATTACGAATAGATTTGTGAATCATGCTCAGTCTTCACCAGAAAAGCATTCAGTCACAGAGTAATAGCTACATTGTTACACTCGATAGTAGATTATGATCCACAGTCAATTCCCGATCGTATAAAATCATGTAGTTTCCTGCCGAAGGAAGACAAAATCAGGCGGATGATATTCGTCGCGTAAAATTTTTCGTTTATTTAAAGTGTTCGAAGCATAAAGCAAGGCGCTCCTATACACAATTGACGTCACTCCCAGTCCATTAATTATATTCAGTTTAACGTTTCCGATTATCAGCGTTACACAATACAAGTGGCTCGCATGGGAGGTTTGGTGTTACGCAATGTTTTGCTGGTCGATGTTTTTCTCGCTGTCATTCTGTCTGTGTATTCCTGTTTCGATCACCTTCATGTTCAATGGGTTCTACCATAATATGTACAGTTTTAACGAAATTAATAGCTTTCTACCGCAATCGCTATTGCCATTGCTACTTTCCGTTAGCATGTGGATACAATGCCTACTCACATGCCGCTCATTTCTAGATTTGTTTGCCCCGACGTGTACCTTCATCCTGATCGGGGGTTGAGGTTGTAAACGATCGCCCAGGGGTTCGTCGACTCGGGAACACCGCCACCTGCACTAAATACTTAGGCGCGTTCGCCACGGATTCGCCGCGCTAGTTGGATGTCTTTGGGCATTATGGTAACCCGTTTGGCGTGAATAGCACATAGATTTGTATCTTCAAACAGGCCAACGAGGTAGGCTTCGGCGGCTTCCTGCAGTGCCATGACGGCGGACGACTGAAACCTACACGAGACACAATCACATACGTTTTTGGTAAAATGCAACTCGTGTTAGGTGGGTATACGGAAGCAAACTAGACGCTAGTGATAGCAAACTGACGGATGGTAGCTAACTTGTCTTGGCCGAAAACAAGTCACAATTCGAGCATGATTGCCCATTCCAACAAACGCATCTAGCCAATTACTTCGCACCGAAGAAAACATCGCACGAAAATAATCGAGGCTATTGGTAACTTGTTGTTTTTGCCATTTTCAACATCACACGCTTACAGAATGCACCGTAAGAAAACGAATCATAACGTCTCCACGAAATAAAGGGACATAGGTGACCTTGACCGTCACAACCGGATACAGCCGCCGCCGCCGTCGCCGCCGCCGCCGCCGCCCCCGCCCCCGCCGCCGCTGCTGCTGCGAAATATAATAAAACTAACTGCCTTCTCTTTTTGTATTAAAATTTGACTTTTCTTTAGCAAAGTAGATGAACCATAGCAGGTGAAGGACGGTCGGAAAGGCCTACGTCACTTACTGGTATCTCTCATCTGTGAGGTTACACAGTCTGAAATGCGGTCTTTTTTCTTTGAAAAGAAAAAAATCTTTGAGCCACTTTATGTAATCGTCCGTAAACCCCGCAGCGCGTTACTTCTAGACATTATATAATACATGAGTAAAATCAAAAGTGCCACTGTCCTATAACCTTCTTTACTGCTAATCTGAGCTTACCTGAGATCCGTCTTGAAATCCTGAGCGATTTCGCGTACCAGTCGCTGGAAGGGAAGCTTTCTAATAAGGAGCTCGGTGGACTTTTGGTATCGACGAATTTCGCGAAGGGCAACGGTGCCTGGTCTGTAACGGTGTGGCTTCTTCACACCGCCGGTGGCAGGTGCTGACTTGCGAGCGGCCTTTGTAGCCAATTGCTTTCGAGGAGCCTTGCCTCCAGTCGACTTACGAGCTGTTTGCTTTGTACGAGCCATGGCTACGACGTGTAGGCCTCAAAGCGCCTTGCGTTGCTGCTTAATAATACGAACGACGATATTCCTTCAGTTAGCCTCGAATAGTGTTGCACTACGATGCGTCTTTTCGAGAGTCCGACAGCGAAATGGTGGCAGGCGTAACTGCCTACGCGGTCCGAGGAGACGCCCTCGGCTAGCGGGGCTTTTCGCTCTACTCAGGCTCGTCGCTGGCGTCCACGTGCACTGATCGTCACTGTAAACGTCTGCGGTAACGAGCATTGCTACGCATGTAACGTGTTGGTTTCAGTCAGCAAAACGTGACGTGAATTAGTGAATGTGGCCATTTGAAGCTTGAATAGCGCTGCTCAAATGCCAGCGATAAGACGAAGAACGATAGTGTTAATTGAAAATAAAGGCATATAAAGAAGGTAATACGGCATAATGGATCGCATCAACATGAGCAGTGTCCGTGATGGATACTGAAAATAAGCTGTTTTGGAGTCACTGCCGATGCGGCATGTGGTCATAGTAAAGTTGCGCTATTCTGCATTGGCATCACTAAAACAATTCAATATATGGCAGAACGGGTGTCAGATATTTCCTAAATGTAGAAACATTCGCATAAGCAACGCCACGCCCGCTATGACATTCATTGGTTACCCGCTAAACGTGATATGAATCAATTATTTGCTTGCAAAAGATCTCGGTGAGGCAATGCGTACTAACTAATAATCCGCCGCTTAATCAATCAGCTGTTGAGGTTTTGGTGAATCTGAAGATTTGTCGAAGTTGAGATTTGACAACGCTAAACATTTCGCTCAATCGCTGCCTCAATAAGGCCATCATAAGACTGATAAGTCGTGTCAGTATACGATTTCGCCATAATCACTGAAGGCGATTCCATAATGCACTGGGACTGACATTTTTCAGCAGTCTGGGTCTTAGGTAATTTAGTCGCGCAGCTCCTTTGAACTTGGTCTGGTAGTGAAATAAAATGATTTCTGGATCTAGGCAGTGTAGAGGAAAGACAACACAAGTTATTACTACTAATTACCCGTTAAGATATATTTTCCCTACCATAATTTACAGCAAATCATCGAAGATTGCGTAACGATTTTCTATAAATCAAATCATAAAAACAAACACCCCTGACAATAGATTCCCGAACATCCAACGACGTCCCTTAGAATGACGCTATTTTTGCCTATATAAGCGTTTGCCTTAGGAAAAGAACAAATAAGGCGACGATTGGGAAATTAAGGGCCGTGCGCTTCCCGCACAAGCAGTGTATTGTCGTCGTTTCTCTCTCATCGTTCCGCCGAATCCTGTTCGAACTTTGACCCGCCTATTTATGCGAATTTCAGACCCAACTTTTTTCTCACTCAAGCAAAACTCAAATAGACTTTTGATGTTATTATATGACGGGTTATCGTCAGTTGGTGGCAAGGTAAGATGACATCTACGGCCTCGCTCGCTCATGTCGTTGTTCAGTGTAGACTTCTGTCGGTCTCAGCGATTTTGTCTTCCTGGTCTGGAAAAAGCACTGCTAGGGTACCGTCCTCTCTTGTTACATCAATACAAAAAAAAAGCTAACTATACGTGTCACGTGCCGATATTTCGGCGTTAGGACTGCTTCTTGTGCCCGCTTTTTTCTCCATGAAAACCCCCGCCATCGACAATGCGAAAGCATCTGCAAAATCTGAGGTCGATATAGATGCAACGGCCAGCCCCACAGAATGTTCCTTGCCTCGACGTCTCATATTATCAACCGATCTTTCTGGCCATGGCTTGAACGGAAGTAAAGGGTGATTCTGGCAGACTGGCTACCTGAGTGCCAGCTACAATTGCAGTAAGTCCCATTTTCCTTTTCATCTACCAACTAAACCAGGACAGGATAGGTGACGAACCTAAAGCATTTTGATATCTAAAAATGTAGAAGTTTTTTTTGAACATAAGGCCATTGTCAATTAAGCAATTGTCTAAAGGGACATAAGGCCGCCGCTATAAGTTCAGGCCACAATTTGATTCGATTTTAATCCGTAATTCAGAGCTAGTCTAATTTTTATAATTGAAAGTTGATTTTAGCCAAGCGGCAGATGGCTATCTAGCATCTAGTGAAGCTCCTATATACATTACAGAGAGATAACACGAATTGTTCGCTATATAGTATATTCGTTACTCAAAGAATCAAATGCTTCTCTGTCCTTGAACCGCACATGTACGAAATATCATATGTTCAAAGTGAGTTATTGCGGTTATTATTAGAGAAGTTCAATGGTACAATGAAGCCTCCTAACAAATCGATATTACAAAGGTGGAACTCGGCCTCTCAAGTGCGTTTTTAAACTGTTGACGTCAGCCATGCAAAATCTGAAATTGTATGCATGTTTAGGTAGATTAGAAGCGTAGCTTATACGTTCGATGGGAACGGCTAACTTTAAAAAAACTTTAACGTAGACCACCAGGTGTCCTGTACAAGTGAGACAACCTTTTGCTCGCTTTACCCTTTATAAAAATACTCTTCTGCTAGACAAGATCCTAGGCGAAAGCGTATAGATAGAATATTAGCAGTACACTTGTTATAAAAATGCTACGAAGCTCTACAGTTCCAGATAGCTCTACTGAGGGAACACATAGTCTAGCCATACTCTTAACCATTTTGGATTGCTTAACAAGTTCCTTATTGTTCTGAACCGTATACGTGACTAAAATTATATAATAAGCCAGTAAAAATTATGCTTTAAATACTAGTACATAAGAAAAAAAAACACGATGCGTTTTCTTTCTCAGGTAGGTGCAACATCGTCACTTGTTACGCTCACATAGTACCTGAGCTATTTACCTATATTTAAATTCATTAGAATGGCAAACGATGACAAAGGACAATAACACAGGTTGTACGTGCGCGCGATTTTTTTAATTAACCGCACTCAGAAATTGATCAAAGGCTAGAGAGTTAACATTGATGGCGTATCATTTTAACCACGTGGGCTATCTTGTTGTATGTATAATTCGATTTTTTTTTATAGCGTCCTTCTATAGTATAATATAGGAAAATCGTATGCTTGGAGAATGTATATCGTCACAGATTTGACTTTTGTCCACTTTCTCATATTTTCATATAATCCTAACAAAAAATTCCTAGATTATTATTTAGATATTAACTAGATATTATTGGCTTTAAATTGTAATCGCAAAGTACAGATAATGGATAACTGCTGCATTATCTTTAATGATAATAAAAATCAATAAAAACTGTATTTTTTTTTACTAGGTCTAAGCGTTTTTGCATATGTACATTAGCACTAGATATTAATTAAGCCATATGGATTTTATTGGGTACGGGAAACACGTCCTTAAACGATTGTTAAGGCATCAGCTGCCTCTTTGATGAAGTTAGGATCCTCGTAAGGCAAACACGCACGCCTATCTAAGTCGTTATCTTAACAAACATCTACTCATTGTTGCTAACTATTATTATTGCATTATGACGATGCATTATATCGAGTCAATTTCCTTTTATCTGTTTCACACATGGGATATATTATAATTTTTTTCATACGTAGCATTTTTTCGAACTCAAGGAACCCTCATGCAAATATTTATCTCTCTCTCCACAAATTTATCTCACTTCGCCGCTTCAGTCTAAATGGCGCCCATCTGCAAACTAACAAAATACACAATTACTGAACGTACGCTTTTGGGCGGGAGTTACGGTCTTGGATGAAACGCCCGAACAGCTAGCTGTTTACTGTAGGTGGAGCAGAGGGCAGGTCCTGCAAAGGTTAACAGGTTTCGAAGGCTAGGTATCTGAGACGCCTAAGTATGTTGTTCCTTTTCTATGGCGTTCGACACACTCAACTTAGCAAAGCTCTACGAGAATCCTAATTTCATCAAAGAGACAGCTGATGCCTTAACAATCGTTTAAGGACACTGGAGAAAAACCGAATATAGCGAGTAACGAAACGAACAATGTATATGCCTTCCTATGAGGTCTCCGGTGTCGCATTTTATAACTCTTTACTGACTACGGTTTTTGAGCTTTTTTTTTTAACTGGAATTTGAATGTTTTTTTCTCTTCATTATTAAGAGCCTTTAATCAAGCTAAACCATTGAGTTAAATATGGATTTAAATTAAAAAGTATAATTTAGTTAGACGACTTTTGTAAAGCTAAGGATGACCACTTAATTATCTATTTTATGACAAAATAACTCGAATTAATATTCTTCGTTAAATGAAACTGAGTTCCAAATCAAAAATCCCATATGTTCATATATATGGGATTATATATTCTCCCATATTTATGAACTGAATATATTATTTCGCTGCTATTGCGAAAGATCGGTTAGGTGCATTAGATCGTAGATAGCAAAATTAAAAAATACTGCTGATCTTAAATTACGATATACTGTGGACATTTTACGGTGAGGAGATGAAGGCTTTAACAAAAGCATTAACCAACCCCAACCAAGGTGCCTCCTAGTTTATATTATGTAGTTGCATGCAATAAAAAATTGTTTACATCTGATTCTACAGGTTGTTAGAAAGAAATACCCCCAGTAAATGGCAATCCGTTTCCAGGTAGGTTATTTACATATAGAAAAGTAGCTAGCAGCAAGCTAGCTACTGGATTCGAAGAAGTTATTTTGAAAATAGTAGCACAAAACTAATCACGCACAACCGGTACATTAGCCTTTATAAAACCGATTTATATAAATATATAGAACCGCGAAACTATAAAAAAAAAAAAAGTTTGACACTGCTTTTCAACATCTTTGCAATTGCCTTCATCTATAGGTTACGTTACCTAAATGCTGTTTCTTCAAGCCTTAATTACTACCTTAGCAACTGCTACGTAAATGGTTCGCCGAAATCTTTTCAACGGCCGATGATAATTACCCAAAGTTGTATTCTTGGTGCAAGAATTTTGACATCGTCTGCTGCTGCCGCCGATTGTTCCTTGCATCAGAATCGGCCATTCATGCAATAGCGTAATTTGTCCTTGGATCCTGGCACAGTATTACTTTGATACATCGCATTTAGTCCGTGATGCCTCTATATGACTAACTTCAGTCACGAAATCGTCTGTAATTCGTTCATCGGAATCAATGTGGTTTATGATAGGACTGTTTGTAGCGTACAGGCAAATTGGAAGATACGTAACAGGGCCACCGTTGAATGGTCCCACATTCAAGTGGGTTCGGTAGGAACCTGCAACCATCGAGCGCCGAAGTTGGAATGGTAGTAATTAAGCGCCACCTGTGTGGCGGTACGCAGTAGAATGAGTCCAGCCGTCTTCTAACTGGTTTTTTTTTGCTAGGTTCTGCGTATTCTAGGACCACCGCATATATATATATATATATATATAAAGCAAAGGGGCGTACGCATCAGAGACAGACAACACATTTACTACACTATGGTAAGTTAAATCATATCCCTGAAATATCCTGAGCATTATTACCATTACATTGCACAGCTGGATGTAAAAGTGGTTTACTCGTACCGTCTACTATACGTGAGAAGAATTGTTAATAAGTAACGGGAAATGGTGAGACAAAGGAAAAAGATCTATAATAATGACTATTAGATATACACTCACTGTTAGATACATGTATGCGAGTTTGGTGTTGAATACTTTTCAATTCTTGAAAGAGAAATATACTAAATTTTTATATTAAAAACTATTATTGTTTTTCATTTGTTACGTCCAGTACAACAAAATGTATCGTGCTTGTTAATCTGTCAATATCAATTTGGCGTACGACATTATATTGTGGTCAATATCGATTTACATAGACTTCGTCGTGATCGTCTGCCAGCTTTATGTTAGGTCTTACGAGACACGACAAACGTCGCGTATCAATTCAAAAAAGACATCGTTCGATGTACTAGCACGCCTGTCAAAACAAAAAAATCATTGATCAGATACTTTCAAATAGAAGTTTGTATCTGCCGCTTCAAACGATATCATAGCTTTTTATTTTTATATATTCTTCGCAATAGAACCCTTTACAGCTGAAGAATCTGATCTATCCACGTGATGGTGACATTTATAGCAACGAATGACTGACGTTGGACATAATATGCTTGACTTTAGCATGATAAATAGAAGCAAAGGATAATATATGAATCCCTGAAAAAGTCGTTCGTTTGTTTGGCAGGTAGCCGTTACAACGGAAAAAATCAAGAGCATTGGCACCAATATACACATGATGCCCATCCTATTAATCTGATCTCCAGTTTTTTGATACTGCTACAAGAAACGTGAGGGGAGCCCGCTGCTTCAGCCAGGCCACTGTGGTAGCATATACCCGTTACGAAAACCATCTCTGTTTCCCGTCAGCTCTCTACTAACCTGATGCCCCAACATAACTGTCGATTTCGCATCCGAGTTCATACATATACTTCGCATAATTCCTGCATGCACCCTTAATTCGGTGATCGAGCCTTTGTAGCGACTTTCGGCCTGGCCCCAGCTCAGGCGCACTGCGCGTCGGTATCTTTATGGCCCCTACATGAATGTGGGAACACTGTGAAAATGCGTTCTTTTGAAAAATTCTCCGTTAAGGCCTTTAGCCCGGAGTCGAACACATGGCTTTTTGAAAAAGTAGCTGATAAAACTAACCACAGTACCGCCTGATACTTCTTCAGTTTTCTAGACATGCCTAAAGTAAACTGGGTAGAAGTAACACAAGTACTCGCATGTACTTATGTCAATATTCAGCGTAAGGCCCAAATTCATCGATCCATCTTAATCAGACCCTATTTTCATCGTTGATTTCATCAACTGAGATACGACTTCTTATCGTATTTGCAGATTGGATTGAAGTGATCACTGGGTGCTTTGACGGGCGGCGATCCATTTTCCTATGAGGTTGTCTCCTCCCAATAAAAAAATTCGTTGTTATCCGTGCAGTAGGTTTCGAATTTATGCCGTTTTCTTTTAAATTAAATCTCGTCTTTTTGAGACGTCGTTGATTATTAAATCGTTCAAGAGCCACACGTGGTTTTTCACACAAAGCTTGATTCCGTGCAATTAGAAAAATTATTTCGAACTTTATTAACGAGCAAAAGTTATTTTGAAATATTCGGGTATATTTGTTAACAGTTGCTTAAAAAGTTAGGATAATAAAGAGTCACATCATTATTGTAACAATGTTTCTGCATAAAGAACTAAGCTGCGTATACGTTCACGTCTATTGCCATAGACAAATCGGCGTAAAAGCGAAACAGTTGTTCACTGATCAGCAAATGGTTAGCCAGTTATATTTGCTGAACAAGAAAAGATTGTTGTCGGCAGTGCAATCCGCTGATCAGGGTACATAGTATGGCGTCCAGGAAATCATGAAGGCAGTCACAATCACGACTATAATCGTAGGGATTCTTTTTTGGCCCGAGCTAACAATCTCCGCCCAGTTTCCACTGGGTCACTGGATATCCCAGGTGGCGCTAGTTCACAGTATGTTCCCCTTGAATACTTGGCAGTCTGCGGACCAACCAAATAGAATCGTTTACGCTGTTCCGTATTTCTCTATTACTTCATATTTAATAATTGATACAAGTCTGCGCGCACGAGCGGTATCTAACGGATTCGACAGAGATGCGCATGATTTAATATCCATATATCGGATGTCGGGGCATTTCAGTTATAGCGGGGCCTTGCTTTTGTTATCGAATTTAAAATCGAAAAAGTCGCATCGCTCATAGCATGGATGACTTTTAATTATGCCGTTGCAGGCCTTTTATGGGGTTCCTAGCTCACTAAGCAAAGCAGTGGACGCACAATAACTCAGCTTGATGAAAAAAAAATCCATCCACAGGATGTAATATAATTGAGTTCGACACTTAGTTGCCAAACATATTGAGCGCAGTCTCGGGTGTCGCAATACCGCGCACCGCCGTGAACATTCATCGAGCAACGTTTGTCAATCCGCCGAGGAACTCAGGCGCTAACCAGCCTTATATAAAGGCTGATTTAAATACACACACTAGCTGAAAAAGAAAGTTGGCGGGTCCTTTACAATCGTGCGTGTAAAATAGCGAAGCCAGGCCCGCTACAGCGTCATAATTGAATAAGGAATGAGTCTTCGAAGCTGATAATAGTAGCGTCGACACACAGTTTGCATATTGACTGCTTATCCTAGGACCCGTTTTCTAATCAGTGCTGCCTTTCCATAAATATACATTTCATTAAACGTCATATTGGCGACCCTTAAATGTGACAGCGTGCCTTCAATGGCGACAGCCTATTCATTCACTAATGATAAGGCTAAAAAAGAAAGCATCATAATGTATATAATCATATGTAACTATAGAGTAACATAGGAGAACTTTCTACCAAAACACAGTTTTCCCGTGCATGGTTTCCATGCCATAAGGGGTGGGGGCGGGGGTGAGGGTATTATAAGAGGAAGGCTGTAATTTACTTCATATGGAATCAACGCGCACTTCTCATTGGGTGCCTCTTCTAGAAATATAATAACAGCAGTACTTTACAAACTATAAAAGGTGGACCACTAGCCGGAACTTTGTTATACATTCTGTCATAATTGTACCCATCCCCCAGACATAGAGTAGAGCCATGTCTAGCAATGCGCTTAATATATGATTATATATATATATTGATAATAATATATATATATATATATATATTATTATGCCAATAATAATAATAATGACGAGGTATAGGGGAAGGGAAAAATATAGGTACGTTTAGTAGCTTCATTCGAGTGTGAAAAGAAAAATTTCATATTCTAGTAAATATCTCATTTGTTGTACTCTTAAAACTGAACAAAGCATATCTACAATCAAACACGAAGTGGAGTTGCGTCTGTACCCGATACAGATCGACAGACAAAGCCCTCTCGGGGGATGAGAAGCAACAAAGCCAGTACTTTATCTCGATGTCATATCCATTATTTGGGATACATTTGGGAAGTAGTGTTTAACATGGACTTTCCTGACAAGCTGACTACTCAAAATTCCTCGTCTGTTTCCGTGCGTTTAAGTCAAAGGCGCACTTTCCAATCTGGCGAACTTAGCGACGCAGAGCTTTATGTTAATGTTATATATGCATAAGGGTTAATATATAGTTTTTAGAGGATTAAAGCCTCTGTCAAGGACTCATATAACACTCTCCGGTTGCTGTATCAGATCAACATGTTTATGATTTTCTCAGGCCCTTCGCCACCATGAGGTGACGTTGCGACGATGACTGCTTTGAGTGTTATTGATAGAGAAGCCAGAACAGAGAGGTGACAATTACGAAACGATGACAGATACGAAAATGAGTAACATATTGTCTTTAGAGAATAATATTTTATATTGGTAAATTAATTAAGGATGAGATCATTAATGCCAGCAGTAGGTATGAAGTTCGGTCCACTTTCACTTTATTAATTGATGTTAAAAAAAGTTGATTGAGAACTGAGATTAATTAGTTCTTTTAATTTAACAAAAATTAACTTCTTCGTATATTTTTAAAGTTTTCAACAATATCAGAGATTAAACATTAGCAAATGTTGCGCACTGTAAACGCATTTCAAACCATAATCAGAAAGGACGACGAGAAAAAGAGGTCCTATGGTAAATATCAATGCAAAAAAAAAGCTTGCCCTGAAGCGTGCGACAGTCGACTGTTATCAGGTTCCCCCGGTGAGTTTGAAAAGATCAAATAAAAATTGTTAAAACTAAGTTTATTTTGATCTCGTTGAACAGTTCACCCGACTCTTGAGCTAACTTCTCGTATGCAAAGGTCTATGCACACATACAGTCGCTAGAAGTTAAGCCCTTTGATGGACGTCTTGTATCAAGAGGCACTTAATGGAAAATATGATCAAAAATAATCTAATAGATTATTTTACTTATTTAGATACTGCGTCGAAATTAAAAAGGTCGAAACCGATAGATGGCAGAAATTCTCTAGAAGAATAGCCACTAGCAGTTGTCTGAAATGTCGCAGCAGACCGGCTAATGCAATAACAGACATTAATAAAAGTGACGCCACGGCGCTGCTCCTGGAAAAGGCCCCGTACCACTCAAAAAAAGATGAACAAGCGGTAGATATAAAAAAACGTTTAGTCAAATTATACAAATACAGATATAAGCTCTACCGACTGGAGCCATCGCAAGCAGAATCACCTATTATTATATACCGCGTACCGTCTATAGTTCAGTACATGATTGCCTCAAAGAAATCTAATCTTGTCCTCAGAAACTTCCCTAGATTCTTCATTTAAGGCTACAGCCTACAGCCAGTTACGTCCTATGTGCACATAGAGGCAACTACTTTTTATGTGGCCAGTTAAAAATTTAAGTGCACTTTTATACTATAGTTAAATTGGATAAAAGAGAACAATCGTGCTAAGCAAATATATAGCAGGTATACATCAGTTCAGCATAGAGTACAAACTTTGATATTCATTTAAGGGCAACCCGCTTAGCCACTGTTGAACTTAAACACAGTTCAATTTCGTAACTGAATATTAAGCAGCACTAAATTTAGCAAGCACAACTTTAAGTCCTAGGTAGCTAGATGCACTTGTGTTTTTCAAATTCATAATATATGCAGCTCATCTCAGCTTAATTATCGTATTCATTTCTGCTAATTAAGTACGGTTTACTTAAAGTTTGACTTTTCCAACGTCAAAGAAAAGGATCTTTGTTGGAACAACGCTTAGGTTAGGTTGAACTTGCGTTCCCGCCCCAAATACGTGGGGTCTCCCGGTTCTACGACAACAACGTTTCTACTTTAGGGAACAGCATAGTCTGCACAGCTCATGCACGTGTCCTTGAAAGCGTTGTCATAGTAACCATAATTAACAAGCTTACTGTCACGTTGATCGAAGCTCAACATCGACATAAATTCCTGTTAACCAGAGAGAAAAAGAATTAAGAAAGAATGAAGCATTAAAAAAATAAAGAACTGTTATCAAAGTTAATAGCGGTTCATATGGTTGCCATGCCATTTCAGCTCTACTGAAGAAATCTCAACTGAGAATGGATCCGTGGACTCCATCGTGGACAGAGACCTAATGAAAGTAAATCCTTGATGCTTTGGCTAAAAGAGGTGATTCGGAAAACATGTTAACATAGAAAATATAGCAAAAGATGCCAAAAAAGAATACAATAGTAATTCTGTCTTATCAAAAAAATGGATTCATATCTAGTTAGGTCCGCTAAAGGCGAAGTGAATCTCTATCATTTTATGGAAGCCTTAATGAGGGTTGGCGTTCTATTAAATGTCCCTTAATTTACTATATATATATACATACTTATTATTATTGCATATTAATACTATATATATATATATAGACTTTTATTTAAATACACATTTCTTATGTCTAACTTTATTTCAATTCTATACAGTTCGTGGACCAACTGGAGTGTTTGTTTGTTCTCCATTTTGAAATACACATTATGACAGTAGATGTTAATATCAATAAGTAAGTATTTATCAGATCCTGATTTTATCTGCTCAGGACGTTTGTTAGCGTGTTTAAGTTCGTCGTTAGCTAAAACCATGTGTCACTTCATGAAGTTCGACCATAGTCGTTCCTATTCAACGTCCCGTTCATTATATCATATATATATATATATATATATATATATATATATATATAATGTTGCCTTAAATTGCTGCAAACGTAGTAACAATGCTTTTATAGTTTGTTTGTCTAAAATCGCTTGTATGAGAAAAATCTGATAACTGAAGGTACTTTTTTGTGTGGAGTTGAAAGCCCCGTATATAACTTCGGTATCCAAAAAGACGTATTACGCAGAGCTATTGGTTGTTTCTTTCCTACTAGATAAAATTCGTTAGCATAGGCTACTCCTTTTCGTGCATTCTGTACTTTTGCATT